CCCCTATAAGCTCTAAAGGAACCCCTGAACCCCCTACAAAATCCATCCACAAACCCTTTTTAACCTTGGTAGTATCCACCCCCTATGTACCCATAGTCCCCCTTAAGTAGATAGAATATGGCTTTGGGTATATTGTAATAAGATCCCCATATACCCCATATTCTATCTACTTAAGGGGGACTATAACCCATAAACCTCTACGGGGACCCCTGAGAGCATTTTGTGCACTCGGGCTTTGGCAGGTGTCAGGCTGCCCTGCAGGCGGCCAGGAAGCGAAGCCAGGAGCCTGGTGTTTTATTTTGTCTTGTCGCGAGTTTTCCTCCGCAGGCAGCCCTAAACCCTAAACCCTTAAACCCCAAACCTTAAACCCTAAAACCCTAAACCCTAAAACCCTAAACCCTAAAACCCTAAATAGTTTGCCGTGGGCCAGCTTCATTCGTTTCCCTCTGCCTCCCTGTTCACTCCCTCGATCGCCACTTCTCCCTCAATCTCCCCTTCCATCTCCACTGCCACATCCTGGAAAGGTGCGCGCCTGCACGACAATCCCATTACTCAGCACGCCCTGGAACTCCGGCGCCACGCGGTAGTTTCCCAAAATAGAAAATGCTCATATAAATTCCAAATTACCATAGTCCTTATTATAGGGACCCCCAGAAAGGTACCCCTAATTTCTGGAAACCACTAAAATCCCTATAAACCGCTATATAATCCCAGTTTCCATATCATGTTCCATTTCCTGTGCCATTTGATTCTCCATTATCTCCAGCTTCACAATCAATGCCCGAGTCCCATCTCCCTGTTCCCGATCACCACCACTGTCACTAGCCTGGCCTTGGGTTAGCTGGGAATGAAAGAGGGTAACAGAACATGGAAACGACTGTAATGGGTTAGGGGGATATAGGGTTGTATAGGGGTTATATAGGGATAATGCAAAAGAAAATGGATACTACTACAATGGGTTATATAGGGACCACTATAAGGATCCATTCCTTCATTCCTAGCTAACCAAAGTCAAGTTAGGTCAAAGGTTGCAGACATGGAGTTTTTCAAAATGACCTGTGTGGATCTTTAAGAAGGAGTATGACCTCCCAAGAATCTCCTCATATCCTTAAGGTCTCTAAGCTTGGCACATCCACGAGACTCGCGACAAGCATCGTCTTGTCTAGTTACTCTAGTTGAATGTAGAGGGGTGGTTCAGTGTTTAAGACTGTTTCATTACATGATCTTAGTTGCGTGGCTAGCGGTTTTGGTTGAGGGGGTGGTTGGGGTCTCCACTTCTCTAGTCTTTTGGTTGGCGAACTTTCACCAGGTGTGCATCAAAGTGGTTATAGTCCCTAAACCCTAAGGCCCGTTGAATGCTCTATTGGAACTGTCGAGGCACATCTGGAAACCATAGCATTGTGGCAGCCTTCCTTGTGTGCTATTGCGATTATTTCATTGCTGCGGAGACTGCTGCTAGACTCCCGTCATCCTCGTCATCACTATAACAAAACATGCTGCGACTTGCCATGTCGCTTTCTACCGTGCTTAACTTTTTGAGTGGGGCCTTCAACGCCGATGAAAAGGGCCCCCAATTCCGAGTTAGGGCTGCACTTAATTTTCTGCTAGACGGAGGCATGACTGTTGGCTTCGATGTGGTGGCGGATCTGTTTGCGCCTCATGCTGACGGCAGGGACAAGGAGTTCAGGAATGTCGATGTCCTCGCTTCCAACAAATACAGACTTGCGCCCCAAGTCTCCAGACGTACCCAAAAGCAGGGAAGCTTCAGGAAGGAAGTGTTATTCGTGACAACCTGGCCTAGGCTGCCCCAGATGTTCCGAGTTGCTTTATGGGGGTTTCCACACAGAGGGCGCCCCAAAGTGGACCACGATGTCTTCTGCAAATAATCTGTACCCTGGGCTCCCTTAAAACGGGATCTCGAACTTTTGCAAACACCGACAGACTCCAGGTTCTGGTGTTAGGAAGCTTGAGCTCCAGCTGAAGCTGGTACGTTGCAGGTATTTTTTCCCTCCAAGCGCCTTGTATTCTGCACCCAGAAAACATTCACTTGCTGTAGGCTGTAGCATAGGAGCTACTGTCAATATTACGCTTACCAAGGAAACACTAAGGGGGGGGCATTTGGGTCCCTTTAGTTGCTGAGTGCAGTCCCGAATGTATTGTCTAATAGGAGCCCATGTCCATCAGTTTTCTTGGAAATGTTAAGTCCTATAATCCACTACATAATCCCAGTTTCCGTTTCATTTTCTTCTCCATCTGATTTTCCATTCTATTCCGTCTTGTTTGCCATAAATTTTATGGGAAATGTTGACTGTAGCTGATATGACGGCGCGCTTGATTCAGCCCGTCCAGGAATGACAAGACGCGAGAGTTGGAGAGCTTCCAGGCAAAGCGCAAAGAGTTTAGGGTTTAGGGGCTTCAGGGGTTTTATCGGGTGTAGGGGTTTAGGGTTGGGCAATTCCAAGGAGAGGGGTCCCTCCCCCATCTTCACGAAACAAGAGAACATCATTCTGGTTCTAGCGGGTCTTCTGACCTTCGAAGCCCCAAGAGTTTCATGAGTAAGGGCAGGGAGCTGCTATCCTTTGCAATAGCTTTTTGAGGATCATGGTCCGCATCAGAATGACCACTCCTTCAAGTCAGAATACAGGGGACTTCCTGCAAAATCCCTGAGCCCTAACCCTTAATCCCTAAACCCTAAACACGAATCCCTAATCCCTGAACTCTACACACTAATCCTTAATCCCTGAACCCTAAACACGAATCCTAAATCCCTAATCCCTAAAGCCCATTCCTTAATCCCTAAACTGCGAGCCTGGGGTCCAGGCTGCTGAGGAGAGCTCCGGTGAAGAGGAGAAGGCTCGTTGGAGTTAGATTTCCCTGGGGCTCCAGTTATAGTGCCCCCTTAAGAAGATAGAATATAGGGGTTGCATTGGGAGAATGAAAAAGAACATGGAAACTATTGTTTAGGGTTATATTAGGGCTATATTGGGGTTGTATAGGGATAATGGAAAAGAAAATGGAAACTATTATTTAAGGTGTCCAGCGTGATGGGGGACTCCGGGGAAGCGTACTTGGAGGGTCAGGGGGACTTACTAAGTAGGTCAATGGAAAATACAATGGAAGTACTATATTATTTAGGGTTTAGGGTCATGGGGACGAAGTAAATATGTTAAGGATGGGGATAACCAGGGTTGCTATATGGGATATAGTGGCTATTAACTTATAAGTCCCCGTGATCCTCCAAGTACTTGCCACGGGAACGCATGGCAATTACCCCCATCCCCTATATAATCCCTATATTCCCCCTATACCCTAAACCCTATATACCCCTATGTAATCCCTATTAATCATTGGTCTACAAACCTTAAACCCTAAGCCCTTTAATAAGGAGTCTCCACTACCCCGTGAAAAGTAGGTGCCGCCGCCACCTCCTCAGAGTCCGCAGGGGCCCTCAGCTGTTTGAAGAGTTTTGGGTTTTGGGGTTAGGGTTTGGGGATTAGGGTTTAGGATTCAAGAATTTCAATTTGAAGGTTAGAAGTTCAGGGCTTAGGATCTAAGGGAGTAGGGGTTTGGGTTCAGCGGCTAAGGGGTTCAGGGCTGGAGAGGGGACGGGTGACCTTCGGTTCTAAGATTTCCTGCAGGTTTTCAAGCGATGCGCAACGGGGCTCTGGTGTGCAATGTATTTGCGGTGTTTCTTTTTTTTTTTTGTTTGATTGTTTGTGGACTATTGTAAGGGACGGACCACTATCCTGATCCGATCCATCCGCCTATTTTTCATCGCGCGGCCGCCTCGACGCAGAACCTTTCTTATATGTTGGGTACTGCCCCCACCCATTAACAGTTGGATAATAGTCATAATGCAACTATGGAGCCGTTAATATGATCCCTATTATGGACAGGTTCTGGGCGGGGCAGGACCCAAGTTATATGGGCTTGAACTGCTTCTTGCTCTGTGCAAGGCTTGCTAGTATCCCTGTCAGATGGAGAAATGTGGGAGTTTTCCGAAATCAGCGGTACCGTTTCGGGGGTCCCTATAGTAAGGATCAAAGAATTTGTGGATGCATGTTGGGGCCCCCCTAGTTTGTGAAAGTACCATTTGAGCTTAAACTTTCCAACAAACTCTTGACTCTACGTAGGGAACAAAGTATGCCAAGCCAGAAAAAGGGACGACACATGGGCCTTACTAGCACATTACCGTGATTACTACTATTTTTTTACCATGACTATGACTGCGAGCATTATTATTACCATTCTCACTTTTAGTAATACTACTATTGTTATTGCTACTCTGGTTTATCTTTATTACCATTACTTTTTTTGTTCTTATGATTCAAATCACTAGTACTACTATTACGGATTTCGTTTAGGATTTTTGTCACTGTTGCTATCATTGTTATTGTTGTTATAAGCATGATTTTCGTTTTTGCTGCTGCCGTCCCAGGTGCGGCCTTCCCCCTATCCTTGGTGGAGAAGATGTCTGGAGCTAAGGGTCTGGCATGAGGGTTTAGGGCTTAGGGCGTGGGGTTATTTGTTTAGGGTTCTGGGATCACGCCAAACAAAAAGTTACTGTACCATTGCGCAGGTTCACATCGCAACATGGCAATATGGTAGTTTTCCTAAATGTGGGGACCCTCATTTGTGGAATCCCCCCCCATATATGCTGGGCAAGTCAGAAGGCTGGGTTGGACAGATGCAGAGCTCAGCACTTTAAAAGCTGGTTGACATTTTTTTTTCCGGCTTTCCGCTGTCACCTCAGCTGCAAATGTTTTCCAATCAAAGGAAGCGGTGTGGACACAGTGAGCGAGGTGTGATACTTCTCAAGAAGTGTGTTGTTTTTTGTCTGAAGGATTGTTGAGGTCAGGCCTGCCATCTCGGCCATGCACGCCGCTTCCAACGATGCTCGGCCCAACGGCTGCGCCGGCTATGGCCTCTCGCAGGGAGATGCGGTGGGAATTGACGCTGGCTGGAGCCTGTTTGACGATACAGATCCGCTCCCTGTGAGCATGCCAGTGCTTGCCAAGAGTGGGGTGGAGGTCACCGACAATGTGGACTCTGCGCCGAGCTGTTTGGACAAGGACCTCCTGGCAATAATCCTTTCCCAAGTTGGGGATGCAATCACACTTTGTCAGCGCCAAGTGCCGGCCGTTTGCCGCCACTTCCAGTCCGCCACGCTTGAACCCCTGTGCTGGCAGCATCTTTCGCTGTCGCCTTCAAATACCCTGCCTTCCTTTGCAGTGAACGATGATGTGGTGCGCCGGCTGGCCAGGACTCACGGGCCAAAGCTGCTCACAGTTTGCCTGGACGGTGCACGTTTATTGGGGCCCTCGGCAGTGTCTACGCTGGCCCACCATTGTGGGCAGCTGCAGAGCTTCACGGCTGTGGGTTGTGTTGGGATAAGCTTCGGCGCAGTGCGCTTCCTCTGCAAGTCTTGCCCATCACTTCACACCCTCCGCGTGTCTGGCTGCCATTTGGACGCCGATCCTGTGCCCCAAGCTGAAGCAGACAAGCTGGCAAGGACAGTCGTGGCAAACTGCCCGCAACTCCGCGTGCTGTCTCTGTCACATCTTCGGCTGGAGGCTAGCCTTGAGGCTCTCTTGTGCTGCCCTGTGCTGGAGGCACTGGACCTTTCCAGCTGCGAACACTTGCCGTGCACGGAGCACTTCACTTCGCTTTTCGCACCTGCAGAGCAGCGCCTAACATCCCTGAAGCTGGGGGGCTGCACCCGCCTCCAGTCCCTCTCAGGCCAGTTCACGCAGCTACGAACGCTGTACTTGGGAGGCTGCGAGCGCCTGAACGATGCTGAGGGACTTGGGCTAATTCTTCAGCACTGCTGCAAGACGCTTACTCTGTTAAGCCTGGTGGGCTGTCAGAATCTGTCTGCGGAAGGCCTCCAAACTGCTTTCGGTCATGCGGGGATGCTTGAAGTTCTTGAAACCCTGGTGCTGGGGGGCTGTCGCGTACATGATGAGCTTTGTGAGCTGCTCGGTCCTGCCTGCCCCAGCCTGACTTCTCTTGATCTTTGGGACTGCCCTATGACAAATGCCGGGGTGGCCGCCATCATCAAAGGGGGAGCGCCCCTGTCAGAGCTGAACTTGCGAGAATGCCGGATGGTCACCGGCCAAGTTTTGCAGGAGCTATGCGCATCTCCCACGGCACGTCTGCGCACACTGGATGTTTCCTGCTTGGGGCCCTTAGCTGATGAAGACCTCGTCCCTGTGGTTCAAACTTTTGCCGAGCACCTCCGGTGCCTCATCTGTGGCGGCTCGCGGTGCTGCATTACGGACAAGCTGTTGGAGGAACTTCCGCGAAACATGGAGGCCCCAACGTTTTCTTTTTTTGACCTTGGTGACGGAAGAAAAACACGAGGGCAATGTTACAGTAGCTGCTTGTTGTCTTCAAAGCGATTTGGGGGTGGTTCTCAAAATTATGGCCCCTTTTTGGGTACCCTAAATATTAGGTGCCGTATTATGATAGGGATCCAAAAGGGGACCATAATTTTGACAACCACCCATTTGTTGTTTGGAAAGGGCTCCTGAAAAGACACCCCTGTCGGAATCTTGGAGGCGTTGCACCTTGAGGAGTGCAGACTGCTGTCTTCTGTGGCTCCCATTGCTCGTCTTCAGAATCTGACCGCGCTGAGTTTGGAGAATGTGGAGGATCCCGCGGCTGCCTCCAAGCTCTTGGACATATGCCAATGCTGCGCAGTGTCATCCCTGAACATCTCTGGTTGTGCCATTGGTGATGATATTGTTTCCAGGATTACTGCGTCTCTACCACGTCTTCTTGAGCTCGAGGTTTGCAGCACCCCCATCACTGACGCAGGCTTGCGAGACATTGTCCGGCACTGCGCCCGCCTCCTCCATCTGGGAATGCTCAACTGTCCGTTCGTCAGCAGCGCAGCAGTGCAAGAGTGCCGCCAGATTCTACCTGCTTGCGTGGTGAGCTTCTTGGAGAACTGAAGCAATGGTACGTGAAGATGGCCGCCTTCTACGTCCGAGTAGCTGACCAAGCACCTTCCATGAGGCAATTGGATTCCCTCCTGAATGGCTGCAAGTACCTGGCCATGTGAAGTGCGACGCTCGGATCATGCGCACGGAGACTCGGCAAGATATTCGGCATGTGCATTTAGTGTCTTCCAGATATGATGTTGTCATGACGCATAGACAGAGCCCTGACGCAATCGCCCCATGCTGAGGTGGCGGGATGAAACTTCTGCCTTGGCCAACTCAAAGTGGACAACCTGCGGGCCAGCGTTTGCCTGATGTCTCTGGGTCGTGCCAGGTGGAAAAACAGAGATTGCCTGAGATCTTGCCAGACCTTGCCAAGATTTCCTGCCTTCCCCATGCAGTGTACAGTGTACAAGCTTGTGGTTGCGGTTGATTCGCGAAAGCTTGTGTAATCTTGCATAAGGCTTCTAGCCTTCCTTCTGGAGGGTGCAAAGCTTGAGGAACCTCCAAGCCGCACTGCAAGTTGCTCAGAGTTTCAATGACAACTAAACAGGAACAGGATGCAAGTTACTTTGTAGAAATCCGTAGATTGGCCAAGGCATGGGGAAGATGGAGGACAGGGGAAAGGGTCAGACGCATTTGGTTTGAACATAGCAGGCGGGCAGATGGTCATGCCAGCAGCTAGCATTGCCACTTCAAGCTATGGGCCTCGAAGATGCTGGATGGTGGTTTCCAAAACAGGGGGACCCACATATAAACCCCCAAAATACTATGATCCTTATTGTACGTACCGCCCAAAAAGGTAACCCTAATTTTGGCAAACTGCCAGATAAAGATTTCAAACATGGGCAAAGGCTCACCATGGGCAACACCCAGTGAAAAAAATTGTAGCAGTCCGATTCTTGGACTACACGGAAAACCTCCCCGTGGCACCAGAGCCTGGCCCGATTTTGACGAAGTTCAGCATCCTCTTTTTGTTTTTGGGGTTTAGGGTTTAGGGGTTTAGGGTTTAGGGGTTTAGGGTTTATGGGAGAAGTTCGTAGAAGCATCACAACGCCCTACCCGATGCTCCAGCTTCTTGGGTCCCAGGCCCGCAGCTCCGTGTCCACTGAGGCTACGTTGTGGGTTTGCAAGAATCCTGCCCCTGCTGGAGTGTGGCTTTGCAGAGGGCTTTTGACAAGGGGCCATAGTTTGGACAGCTACCCATGTGGGAAAAGTCAACTAGTCTCCAGTTATCTCCAAGTACATTCCCGAAAGCACCAAAACCATTTATCTTGCTTCAACCACAAAAATACGCTTCGCAACTTGGTGGTTTGAAGGACGAGCTGCCTTAGGGTCTTAAGGCTCAGTATCCCTTAATCAGGTACCCTAAGCCCTAAACCCTAAACCCTGGGCTTAGGGCCATTGCACGCCAAAGCAGGAGCCTGGCTTTTGAACACTGTCTCCAGGAGGTCCCCACACTTTTCTGTCAGTTCTGTCACTTTGCTGAATCCTAAATTTCAAGGGTTCCAGGGTTTTACCCCTAAAGTTGCACCCCCGAAAGGTTTCTCAAAGCATGGGCCCAGTATAGTCCTTACATGAACCCATCTAGTCGCTTGGTGTTCGTTCGGTCGATCTTTATCCGTAATGGTACAACCCTGAAACCTTTGAAGCCCCCTAAACCCCAAACCCAAATCCCTACACCTTAACGCTGAATCCCTAAACCTTGATCCCAAACCCTAAGCCCTAAACTCTACAAACTAATCCCTAATCCTCTAACTATGAACCCTCTCAAGCTTGGCCCTGGGCTTTTGAAAGGCGAGCATCCTAGGGATGGCGCTGCCGGTGTTTGCTGATGCCCAGGAGCCCTGCCAAAGCCATATGATAATAGGGTATATTTAGGGGTTGTGGAAGCTGCTACCCTCTAATGGGGTATATATAGGGGTTATATTAGTATATGGATAGTGGTAAAGACAATGGAAACTACTGTATTACAATAGGGTATATATAGGGGTTTTATAGGGATAATGGAAAAGAAGATGGAAACCACTATAAAGTATATTGGGGTATATATTAATAAATAGCTATCACTAAGCGCATGGGGTCCTCTGAAAGGGGTTATATGGGTACACATACACACGTATCTATATACGCATGTATATGTATATGTATATGCATATGTATATGTATATATATTATATGTAGGTTTAGATGTATACGTATACGTGCATGTGGAGGTGCACGTGTATGTGCACGTGTGTTTATAAGAACATGGAGGGATTTCAGGCAGCGGCATGCGCAGACATACATGTCCAAAGCGAGTGGAGTGGAACACTGAACCTGGGGAAAGATATTTGAGGGGCCATGGTATCTTTGATACAAGATTTGGTAACCCCAACACCCCAAATTAGGACCCTATGACTATCACATGATGGTTATAGGGTCCTAATTTTGGGGGCTGGGGTTATCAAATCCTTTTTATCAATCTTAGCACCGAGATCTCGATGCAAGAATGTCTCCTTAAACAACTGCCTCTGCACAGTCCGTCAGAGCGGCTGGTATTCTCTCTGTATAATCCGTCATATGCCTAGGGTCGCCTAAGACCACCCTGTTGGAGAAGCCCCCCCATGACTTTGAAGCCAGGGACACTACTGTTAAAAATCCTGCCTGACTTTATTATTATACTATAAAAAACATAGTTCCCAAGGTATATGTAAGGTACTCACGGTCATGTAGGATATTTAGTATCCACCCACCGTATCTGTCATCCTGTCCTAGGAAGTAGATCGGGCCTTTCTTCACCGGTTTTTGTTTCAGCCTGCCATGGAGGCTACTGACACTGGCATAACAGGAATATGCTACTAGAGGTCGCTAATGTCATGAGTATTATCCCAACAAAAAGCCTAAACCCTAAACCTGACACCATATAGTCTCCCTTAAGTAGATAGATTATGGGGTTTATGGGGACCTTATTATATTACACCCAAAGCCATATTCTATCTACTTAATGGGGACTGTAGCCCTACAGGCCTGGCACTGAACCCTAAACCCGCCCAAACTGCCTCGGTCCAGGTACAGGCAAAGCCGCTGTGTTCGGCCGTCTGCGTCCAGGCCCACCTGATATGCTGATTCAGGGTTTAGGATCGAGGGGTGGGGGATTTCCCAAAATTAGGGTTCCTAGAATAAGGATTGTAGTATTTTGGGGCTTATATTTGGGTCTTCATTGGCGTTATTTTGGAAAACGACCAAATTTCATGGCTTCCTCAACCGACCGAAGGTAGGGGGAGGACAGGGCGCGTAGCTGGGGAACCAATCATAAGATGATTTCTACAAATTCAGATCCTGGGGATGTGTCGAGGGTTGCCAAAATTTGGGTCTCTTTCGGGGTGTCCCCATATAACCTACACCCTGAACATTAACTATATGGTGATGATGAGGAGATGAGGGTCAGGGTCCCCCATAGGGAAAGAATATGGCCTTGAGAAACTCGCATACATCCCTGAGGGCTTAGGAAAAGTGATCTTAGTGCGTTCTTGGCTTCTTCGCGTCCAGGGTTTGTAGCCTTGGGTTTAGACTGAAGGTAGTGGTTGAGGGGTCCAGTTCTAGAAGGTTTCTGGGGGTCTTTCCGACAATCGCAAAATTGAAGCAGCCCACGTGTTGAGACCATCACAATGTCCACGGGTGGCTTGAATGTTCAGCTGAGAAATATGAGGACAATCAGTTTTTTTTTTTTTTACTTCCTCATGAGTACAGTTATGTTCATCAAACTGGGTTGCTAGATAGGGGGTCAGGCAGACTAACTAAGGAGGTTAATTGCCTCCCTTAGCCATATCACATCCCCAGCTACTACTAAGTCCCTCCGACTCTCCAAGCAAGGCAGAGGCGGAGGCGGAGGATGAGCCTGTAGATGCGGAGACGCAGACCGAGGCTTGTCAACATGTCGGATAAGAAGCCCGAGCGTGCGTCTTTTCTTCTACAGTCCCCCTTAAGTAGATAGAATATGGGGTATATGGAGATCTGATTATAATATACCCAAAAGCCATATTCTATCTACTTAAGGGGGACTATATCCCTTTAGCATTTTTCGAAAATAACATATATGCCCAGAGGAACTATTAAACGTATGATTTGTATTGTAGGTCTAATGTGATTATAGTCTTCCCCTGCAAGGGGGGATCTAGTTCCTTGCAGACATCGGTGGATTCCTGAATCTCAGCTCTTTTCCGTGTCATGTCGTAATCTAGATTGGAAATATAAATATGAGAAGCAATGAAAAGCCGCTGCTGGCAGTGTGTTCCTTCACGGACTTTACAAAGGTTCAGGTTGAAGTGAATTTGGACTGGCAGGCAAGCCCTTCCCCTCCAGAGCTAGTAGCAGCTTCGTCGCAGACAGAGGCCGGGTCCAGTTCCCAGCGCAAAGTGCAGTCTGTCGTCACTTCATGACGTCACTGCATGTTTTCACAGGCTTAGTTGTCGCACGCGCGGGCAGGATGCTCCGCCAGCACAGCTGATGACTTCAACTGAATCGCAGACAGAGGCACATGCGCGGAAAGATTGAGGTTCTCATGCCTTTGTATGGGATATCTGCTCACAAACTAGGGCTTTTGGTGCAAGGTCTTGATGCATGCCCCAGCTCCTGCCCTGAACCAGGGTTTGGGTTTGAAGCAGAAGCCATGACAGCTGATTTCTGCTCGTGCCCAGTGCGCAGTGTAGTGTTGCCGGAGCATCTGCATTCACGGAAGCAGATGTCTTCCTTCCTTGCCCATGAAACTGCTGAAGAACAACCGACTCTTTCCTCATCGTCATTCGCATGGTATTTGGACCATGCACCCTTACTTGTTAGGCTTCCAGTCATCCATAGAACATCCCCCTAGTGACCCGAACAATCATGCCTCCAAGCCTTCTTACCATCTATAGAAGGCCATAAGGACCCATAGGGAATCCTATTCCACCATAGCTGGGCCCACAAGACCACCAGAAGCCATGCAGCAGCAAATATCAGCCAGCCCCCTCGCTGGGCAGAACAGCGGAAGCTGGGCCTGTTTCGATATGCTTTACATCTTTTGTGTCTCAAAGGGGTTATAGCTATATGTCGCAATATTAGGGGGAGAGAGAGCGAGAGATAGATAGATAGATAGATAGATAGATAGATATAGAAACATTATCTCGATAATCGAGAATCAAATGGAAACATGAAAAAACTACAAGGACACTAGGATTAGTTAGGGGTCGTTAGAGGGATTGCAGTGTGGAAATTCGTAAGGGGTGAGTTGTCAAAATTGGAGTCCTTTCTCATTATTATTACCGCCCAGATATGGTAGTTGCCCTAAATAAGGGGGCCCCAATATAGACCTCAAAATACTATACTCCTTATTATTGGGAACCCCCAAGAAGTACCCCTTAATTTTGGGAAATCCCCATGTTTAGGACTCCCTAGGAGGCCCATGATTCTGACAACCCTATAGAAGCTGTGGTCTAAACTCCTTAAATGGGGGTTACATAGGGAAATATATCAAGGAGCATGATATGGGTTATTAAAGGGGGATACTAGGAGTTTAGACCGTAGCTCAATGGGGTTTCAGAAATAGACCCTAAACTCTCATCCCGAAACCCCTTAGGACTGGAGGGGTGTGTGTGCAGCATAGTATGTTATAGTATATTGTAGTATATTACAGTATGATAGTATGATATGGTATTTTACACGTAGAAGCCCCTCCATCGAGGGTTGTCTCTATCTCTTGGTCCCCAACAGCCCATTCAAATTCCGAAATGCTTTGCTCTGGGGTTAGGGAAAGACTGCCGTGCAATGATGCTAGGAATACCAGGAGCATGCTGCTGCAACTTGCTTATCGTATATGACTGCAGCTTCTTCAACATGATGCTCGAGTATGCGCATCCTTTTATCTACCCTCCCTTGTGTTGGTGGGAGTTGTGCGGTTCTTATTCTGCTTGTTGCTGTCATGCAGCCCTGAACCCTAAACATTGATTCTTCAAGTTGTTTTGTTTTTCTAGAAACTCACCGAAGCATGGTAAGCCGAATCCCTAAACCTTCAAGCTTAGTCCGGAACTTGAAAACCCGAGATCTCAGCACCCGATTCTTGAACTCTAATCCCTGCACCCAAGTCCTTGGGAATTAGCCATCAAAGCTGGAAACACCTATTGGCGCAGGTAACACTTTGTTTCTTGACCCTAGCCATAAACTGGAAACTCCATTTTCTTTCCATTTCTCTATATCTCTCTATATCCCTTTACAACCCTAGTTTCCCTTCAAGATTCCATGTTCTTCCCCATTTGATTCATTTTCTTTCCATTCCCTATATATCTCCATTTGATCCTTATATAGATCCCGCTAATATAGTTAGTTATTTTCACTTTTTCCATTCCCCCCATACAACCTGATACAACGGCTGTACATCCACTAATCTCGTAGTTTCCGTCTCGTTTTCCGTTCCTCTAGATATCCCTAGCCCATTAATATTGTCGTTTCCATTTGCTTTCCCCTTCCCCTTCATATCCTCATTTGATGTCTAAATCCCTGATTGTTCATCCCCACTTACATAGACCCTACCCTTAACCCCAAACCCTGTAAACCCTAATCCCTAAACCCTAAGCCCTAGACCCTAAACCCTAGACCCTGAACCCCAAGCCCTAAACCCCAAATCCGAGGAATGGGTCTGCAAGGGGTTGAAGCACGACTGGACCGGCTCTCCGCGCAGATGGATCTCTGCTTAGCCGAGGTCATGAGCTGGAGCCTCTGGGTTCAGGGTTCAGGGTTTAGGGCTTAGGGTTTAGGGTTTAGGGTTAAGGGTTGAGGGCCTAGGGTTTAGGCAGGGTTTAGGGCTTAGGGTTTAGGGCTTAGAGTTTAGGGTTCACGGTTTAGAGTCTAGGAATTGTGGGCTTAGTGCTTTGGGTTTGGAGTTTGGGGCTTAGGGCTTGGAGTTTAGGATTTAGGGGCTTAGTCGAGGTCAGGAGAGGAGCCTCTGCTACTTTGGAATGGAAAGCCGCATGGCAAATTACGTGGAACATAGAATGGAAACTGGGGTTTTGGCATGTGCTTCCTGAGTAAGGAACGGCGGAAGAGAATTTGGAAATGGAAGCTATGTACAGAAATGTAGCGGGCATATGGCCAATGTGGGGAGAGCAGGTCTACATGTGCACCCAGACTTACAAACAAACTTTATCTTGCTTAGGCCAATCAGTGTCCACTTGCAGTCGCGCAGGCGTTTAAAATTCATTCTGGGAGATTTGCTAGTAAGGGTCGGAGTGTATGATACAATCCCAAATAACCCTGGCTTCCATTTTTCCGTTCCCTATATATTCCTGTGTTGAAACACAGCCCCCAGCCAGCCAGTGTTTCAATGCGAGCAACCCACTACTGGACGTATAGCTCTGTTTTGTTTTCGAAGCTCGTGACGGCGCGCTCTAAACCCGAAACCCTACTCGTAAAACCTAAACCCTAAACGCTAAAACCTAAATCCTAAACTCTAAACCCTGAGCCTTAATATCCTGATAAAACATTATAAAACCCCATAATATCCCTAGATGCAGAGGATGTCAGGTGTTTGGTCCTTCATCCGAAGGCTCTTTCCCAACAGGGCCCACTCCTGAAATCTGATGAAGCCGGATGAGGGGTCTAGGGTTTGGGGTTTGAGGCTTAGGGTTTAGGATTTAGGATTTGGGGTTTAAGGTTTAGGATGGTTTAGGGTTTAAGGTTTAGGATGGTTTAGTGTTTAGGGTTTAGGGTCTAGGGTTTAGGGTGTTTAGGGTAAGGATCTTGAGATAGTTTAGGCCCAGCCCTTCACTACCCTCTAGAGGTTATCTAGGGATAATGGAAGAGCACAGAGAAAGTACCATTTAGGGTGCCCAAAGCCCAAATCGGGGAGTTTTCTTCTGTACCCTTAGGGTTTGAACCCTTGGCTCGGATCCCTAAACAACGGAGTATAGCTCTTAATGAAGGTAGTTGGGACTCAACAATTAAGGTAACAAAACATGAAAGGGTACACACTTGATGCTTTGGACCAAAACCCGAAAGCCTTGGACTAAAACTCTGAACCCACCCTAAGCCCTAAACCCTAAAACCCTAAGCCCTACTTCAGGAGAGGACTGGCGGCCCAACCTGAGACGAGGACTGCGGTGGAGGCAGCCGCTGCTGAGAATGCGGCAAGCACTGTGGATACCTTCAAGCTTCTCCACGCCCCTGGGATGAACGTCATATTCTTTTGCATATACTAGTTCACGTGCTGCGCTGGCACTATTTCTTGTTGTTGCGTCTTCTTTCCTATAATCGCAGTTTCCATTTCATCTTACAGTTCTTTTACATTTGGTTCTCCATGAATTGGGTAATATCCCATCTCGATATATCCCTACATAATGTCCAAATACAATATTTTCTTTTCCATCATTATATCTCTCCCTATGCATATATATATATATACGCACATTTTTATACATATATACATATATATATATACACATATATATAAACACATATATATACCTACACACACATATTTATATATGTATATATATATATAGAGTTGTATATATCTGAGGCCTCAGATCGGAGGGAGAGCGAGACCTCCGGAGACAAGTCCTTGGCTGCTTCGTCTACAACATCGGACGACAGGATGTGGGTTTGAGCCCGGGGGGTATGATGTAAACTATAGTTTAAATTCCTAAAAGGGGTTATATAGGGGATATACGGGGGATTGCATAGGGTAGTATTACAGGCGTTATTACGGGGGATACTAGGAGTTTAGACTATAGCTCATGTGAAACGAGGCCACCCTCACCATCACCATCTGCTGCTACTACTGCTACGGCTGCCTATGCTAAAGCTACTGCTACTGCCACTTCTTCTTGTTCTTGGTTTGTGCCTACCACGGCCATTGCTACTGGCAGCTTTCTGGATCTAATGGCGGCCTTGGAGTGGTAGGGTGTTCGCTCTGACTATTGGTGACAGGGTTTTTGACTAGCCAACTTAGGGTTTCCCAAAATTAGGGGTACCTTTTTGGGGATCCCTATAATAAGGACTATAGTATATTGGGGTATATATTGGGGGTCCCCTAATTTTGGGAAACTACCAACTCTTGTTGTGGAGCGCTGCGAGGCAATCTCGAAACACGCTTTCGAAGCTGCTTCAAACGTTATGTAGACAGACCTTTAACACTGGGCAGCCAGTCCGTGTATGGGTCAAGGCTTCTCGCGTCAGACCTCACGAAAAAGAAATTGTTAATAGACGTGTCCCTCAGCAGCAACCCCGCGCACTGCAAGCTGTATCCCAAGCCTTATGTAATGCTCTTCCCCTAATATTAAAAAGAGGCCGCCCCCTGATATCTGTGTGGTATATGGGAAAATATTGGGAAAACTGAATGCTGTGGGGATTGGGGGGTTTTTAATTATAAGGGGGAGAGGATTAAGAGATCTACTTTAGGTGGACCCCCCA